ACGGAGGAAAGGTAGATAGTAATAACACACAGTAATTGTTGTAGACAACAATAACTCAGCAAAAGGAGTCTGTTTCTTTCTCTTCTTAATCCGAACTGGTCTTCCTGAACGATTCTTCTTTTTTTCTCCGTGATTCATCAGCCTTCTGTAGATGATCTTTTTCAGTGCTTTTCCTAATGATTCCAGTAGTGAAATGGGTATGTAGCTTTCCAGTCTTCTTCCGTCCTTCCTTGGTTTTAGTAGAGGGATCATCTTGGCGTGCTTCCAGTTATAGATGATATAGTACAGTCATATTATTATCTTTTTTGGCAGTTCATTGAGGGCGATGTTGTGGATTTCTTCTGATCCTGGTGCTTTGCTTCATTTTAGTCTTCTGATGATTTTGGCGACTTCTGTTAAGTTGATGTAGTCTTCTTCCTCTACTAATAATTCATTTCTTCTTTTTATTCTTTTATATTCTGCGTTGACCTCCTCCTGATGGTTTTTGAATCCGACATGTTCTGGTTTTCTTTATGTATTACTGCCATTCTTCTTGTAATTGCATCCACTTTTTCTTGGGTTTCGAAGTGAGTTCCCTGATGATTTGTGGCATATTTTCTTTTCCTCTTCGTTTGGCTTTCAGCATTTTCTACAAGTTTCAATGGTTTTCTTCTGCTTTCCTGATTTTGTTGTGCCATTTGTTATCTGTGAGACTTTTGAGTCTTACCCTTATTTCTTCGGAAAGTTCGTCTCCGTAGTGTTTGAATTCCTGTCTTCTTGTCCTCTGAAAAGCTCTTCTGACCCTATTTCTGTCCTTAATGATGTTCTGCCGTTTGTTTGGTATGATTAGTCCTCTACTATTTGTCAATCCCTTGGTTATGTTGTTCTCCATAGCTTGTTGAATTTTTCTTATTTTTTCTATTTTTCTGTCCACTTCTTCTGTTGATTGAAATTCTCTCTTCATTTCCATTTGGTTGAGTTGTCTTCTTTAGTTTGGCCAAATTGCTTCTTTCCATCTCCATCTTTCCATGGTTCCACTGTAGGAAGGTCCACCCTTTATATTATTTTTCCTGTTACTGGTTTGTGATTTTACATCTTCTATTATGACGTCTTTTGTGATGAATAGGTCCAACGTTGAATTTTTTTGTCCTTGAATGGGGTTGATTGTTATAGGTTCGTCTGGAGCGAATAACATCTTATTTCTCTCCTCACAGTATCTTAGAAGAATTGTTCCGTCTCTTGTGATATTGTTGCATTCCCAAATTGTGTGTTGTGCATTGAAATTTCTGGCTATGACTATTGTTTCTGCAGAGTTCAACATGGCATCTAATTCTTCCAGACATAGATCGTTTCCTCTTCTTCTGTAAATGGAAAATATGTTAGTTGTGCTTATTTTTATACTTACATTTTCAAAATGATTTGTATTTAATACCACCTGGTTCCATTCAATATTATTTTTGACGAATGTAGCCACTTGTCTTGTATTTGATTGGTCTCTTCTGCCATATCCATCGACGTTTGTGATCCTTGGGAGCTGAGTTGTCGTTATGTAGAGGGTTTCGGAGAGGCAGATGACGTCTGGATTGTGCCTTTATTACCATCTCCCGTAGTTCGTGAATTCTTAGCCTCATTGAGGTTATATTCAATTGAAGTATCTTCAGATGTTTAATTATCATTGTAGATCTCTTCGTGTATCATGAAGATCATCGCGTGTTCCGTGAATGATTTCGCTGACTGTAATTCTATATTTATTTCCTGTAAGAGTGACATCATTTTTTCCACATTAACAATTTGGTTAATTTCTGCCCATGAGCTCTTGATGCTTTTCGTATTTTTGTTTCTTATTGTTTGTTGTTGTCCTCTTGTAGTTTGTGCACGTGATAATCCGCTGGCTGTAGTCCTGAAAATTGAAGAGTGAGGTGGTGCTTCTGTTGTGGTCTATTCCTGGCATATTTTCTGGGCAGCCAGATATTCGATGTGTTTTTTGCACATGGTGTAATTTGCGGTGTGCTCCTTACCGCACTTACAGCATTTAACCTTGTTAATTACTCCTTAGGGTAGAGAGCAGTTCCTAGTAAGATGATTTTGTGTACATATCAGCCACTTCGGCGTTTTGAAGCAGTTCCTAGCGGAATGTCCAAAAGCCTGGCAGTTATAACTAAAGCTCGGATTTATAGGCAACAAAAATTGAAGAAAAAGGCGCCTATATAGGCAAAGATTTTTATTAAAAAAGGCAGGAATATTAACATTTAGGCAAAATATAGGCAATAAAGGAATATAACTTATTATTTATTGTACAAAGTAAATTAACGTAATATTAACTTAAGGCAAGTATATTTACACATCATAATCATAACATTAGTATAAATAAACTAGTAACTAAATAACTGTTAATTAATAATTAAACATTGTAACCACTTAAAATTTTATCATTAATAGAAACAACTAAATGTTTTTCAATATTTTCGGTCTTAAAACTATGTCTTCGATCACTTAAAATTAATTTGTACATTGAAAACGAACGTTCGACATCGACAGATGTAATTGGAGCATATTTCAGAGCGGATAATAAATCTGGCATAATTTGAAATTCCTCGGAAAATGTCCCATTCAAAACTTTAGCAACATTAGATAAAAACGAAAAACCTTCATTCTTGTCGAAAACATATTTCATTTTTTTAAAAATTAATTGACCGTTACTTCCAGGTGCCGATTTAATTTTCGTCTTTAAATTATCTATTAATTTTACTGACTCACATAAATTTATCTCTTGTTTTTCTAATAAGGTAATTGTGGTAACTATTAATTTATAATTGTCATTGATATAACCGAGTTCCTGTTTCAATTTGGGATTTTTTAATATTTTTTTTGCTTCTCGAATGGCTTCGGAAATATCATCATCAAATTCTGACATAACTAATTCTATTTCATTGCAGTGTTCAAAGTAAAAAAAGACTGCTTCGAGCCAGGTTCCCCACCTTGTAATTACTGGTTTAGGTGGCAAAGGGACACCGGGAAGTCTTTCTTTATATATTTGCACCCTCAACGGAGCCTTTACAAAAACTTTTTTCATAAAATTTATAAAATTATTTACCAACGGAAACAGATTTCTTATTTCTTCAGCAATTCTATTTACCCCGTGGGCTACACAAGTGCAATGAATTAAATTAGGATAAAAAATTTTTAAATTAACAGCAGCTTTTAACATATATGCCGCAGCATCTGAAAGCATTAAAACTATTTTATTCACTGGTATAGCGTTGGGTAAAAAGAGGTTTGTTAAACTATCTTGTATAAATCGACTTATTGTTAAATTGTTTGTTTTTTCCAATTCTTTAACGGCAACTAAATAAGGTTTTCTCGCAAAGTTTTCGTTCAAAATTCCAATCATTAAATTAGCTATATACCTGCCGCATACATCTGTCGTTTCATCCACGATAATATACAAAAAATTGCCCTCCAACTCGTGCTTAATTTTTGAAATACATTCCACATAACATTTTTCCACAGTATGTTTTCTCAATGTACTCTCGTCCGGTAAGGATTTATTAAGATATTTTTCAAAAAAGCGTTTAAAACTAGGGTTATTAGCTTTATATAGAGGAATGTTGGATGCAATCATCATCTGGCATAAATCAAATTTAAATGCGTCTTCCTCCTTTTTTTTTGAACTGCTTAAACTATCCCGCAGAGATGTTTGGGCTAACTTAGAGGAATTTAATTTTTCCAAATTACGTTTATGAAGTGGGGTTCCACAATGCTGGTCAATAAAGTACTTTTTTCTACTTGAAATCTGAGAATTAAAAAAAAATAATTAGAATTCTAAAACCGCTTTAGAATTTAGTTATGTTGTGGGACGAGAAAAAAAGAAAAAAAAAATAAAACTTACCGATTTGCCGCATGGTTTACAAAATGCTCCATCTCCTTCTAGAGAAAGTTCCGAATAAGGTGCGATCCATAGCCTTAATTTAGATGTCATCTTTTCACACAACTGTCTTGAACGTTTTAAAACGTGTTCTTTGCTTTTCGGTATACGCAACAAAACTAAACTAGGATATAGCAATTTGCTAATTTGTGAGTAAACTCTGATACAGTAACCGACTGTACAACTGATAATAAACTAATAAAGCTTAGGGATTTCCAAATAGTTAACCCTCAAGTCTCGATCAGGTACATTTTCCTAGAAATCTATTATATAAACAAACCATTGATATTTTATTATTGACCCAAAATTTTATTATAGAATGGTTTAGTAATAGAATAATATCATGGGTAGTACCATGAAATTTTAAAAAAGGCACAAATAGGCGGAATTTACGAAAAAAGGCAAAAAGTGCAAAAAAACACTTATAATAGGCAAAATAGGCAAAAAAAGGCATTTTGCCTATAATCCGAGCTTTAGTTATAACACTGCGTGGCTCTGCTTGGTTCATAGTATGTGTCCCATTTTACTCTTATGTTTTGGATACCGTTAATCTTCTTTACTTCTTTAAGTCCTGTTGCTTGTCGACATGTAATAAATAAGAGCTGCTGACCTTGCCTATTTGTCTGGTTTTAATCTCTGTAATTTTTGCAATTATTCCCTTATTTCTCAATTCTGCTTCCATGTCGTCTAAATCCATGCCTGGAGCGACTTTCATGACAGAGCGATTGTGTGTAGGTGTCGCATATTTATCTTTTTTGAAAACAATGAGGTATGGGCTCTTTCAGTTCAACCGCCAATAACAATTATTAATATTGTTGAGAGATGGGGCGATATTAGGTCCAATCTAACATCATTCGGCGACAGTTGTTTCCTTTATTATTATATAGAGTATCCAGAATTTTTAATTTTTTTATTATCATATTACAATTACCATATTACAAATAATTTTGCAACGGAGTATAGAGCTATGTGAAAGGTATTCTTATCATAAAATGTTCGTATCCTTAGTAATAGTTTTCAATTTATCTTACGTAACATTGCGTTACTAAACTGTGTTTATATGTAGCGAGTTACTTATTTTTCTCTATTGTTCCAGGTCGGAGGGTATGGATACTGGCTCCGAAACCTCAACAACAAACAACGATTTTCCATTACGGAAAACAGGTTAGTATTACAGTGTATTTTTAGAGTTTAGACGAAATTACAGAAAAAATTGAACACCTTTAACACCTTAAGCGCCATTTGTATTCTATTAGATACAAACGACTTTGATCATTTTTGGCCACCTGTATCCAAACAGATACAAAGGAATACTTTCACTTTAGGCTAGCTGAATTCAAAATAATGCAGGGTTTGTATTTAATTGAATGGGGGACTTATAAAGCATGGCCGGCTGGTCCAAAATTTGTTTTTGGCCAACGATTTTTTTTACAAGTTGATAATTATATAACACATTTTGTTAAAAATAAAATGTAATTAATTTAAATAAAAAAATAACACAATTATTTTTAGTAGCTATTAATAAAAACTCCTAATAAATGTTATTACATTAATATTTCGGATTTATGAGAAATAAAAAAGCATTTGAGACAATAAAATTCTTTACAAGCACTACATTTGTGGCGAGTTTACGAAGATTTGGCTTGTGCATATTTCCAATTGTGGCTGTTTGTTAGCCTTTCGTAGCAAGCCATACATCTTCTTTTCTTATTATCATCCACTAAAATATAATTTTCCTTGATGTTATTAGACGGAAAAGGTCTTGTAAAATTTTCGTCCAAAAGCTGAGCTTGTTCTTTGAATTTGATGATGGACATTTTTTTCTTCGTTACGATCTAATGTACACAATACGCATTTATTAGCGTAGTTCCTGTTAGTAATTCTATTGCTAATTTTCGATACAATTTGATCCCTTTTCGTAAACTAGTAGTACATCTATTGTACTATAAAATTATTATCAGTTTTTCTATTTCCTCGCCATATCTTCTTACAGGAGTCATTGCATTGTTGTGCTTTGTTGAAATCACCAAGACATCTTTTTTGTCCTTCCATGTTAAAACAGTACAACCTGTGTTGTTTTGTAAAGTCGTAGACTAATACTTCTCTAACTTTGCTTTCACAATTTCAGGAGGATTATTTTTTCTGTTTGAACATAAGGTCCGAATTTTATAGTTTATAATGCTGAATCTAAATCGATGCAAGTGGCCAACAGCGTCAATTTATGGAAATGGGCCACTTGTATCCATTTCGATACAACAATGTTTTCATGAGAAAATAACATTATAACATATAAATTATAAAAGACACAGTTAAGTAGGGCATTTTTAATACATATTTATAAATTTTACACAGCGGCCCACAGAACTGCGTTTCTTTTTAATATGGTGGCGCTTAACGTGTTAAAAGAAGTAATAAATGAATTACGTCTTTTATGAAAAGTTTTTGGCTCTATTTTTGCAAATTTGATTTTCGCGAATTTTTAACCATCAACAAACTGAATGGTTAGATAAATTGCTTAGTTATGATTGTGTTATCGGTCTGATAGGCAAGCGGGCTTGGCGGCCAATTCGCTTTCCTTTTACTGTGATAAATCTAATAGAGGATTGATGATTCGTCAAAATGAACTAGACAAGACTGCATACTAGCAGCATTATTATACTACCGAACAATAACAAACAAAACTAAGCTCAGTTTAATCAATGTCTTTGTTTCTTCCATTGCTACATATGCGGCTGAAAGATAGACTCCCAAAAAATCGATAGAAATAATTCGAAGCTTTTGAAATGTGAGTCTGCAGAAGAATTCTACACGCGTCCTGGACAGAACACATAACCACAGCATAACAGAGAGACGGAACTATTGCTAGTAGACGAGAAAGTAGAAGGCCGAAGACCAAGAAGAAGATCTCCAACAAGATGGGCAGACCAAATGAAGACTCCGACGAAAAAATCCCTACATAAAGCCGTCCATCTAGCACAGGATCGCAGCCAATGGAGGCAGCACTGTATAAAATCTTAAGACTCCCTGACGAGGTGTCAAGGAACGAGGTGGACGAAGATGGTTTGTATTCTGGCCAGAAAACAAAAAAATCTAACGTAATAGTATAAAATCGAAATGGATATGCTCCTTTAAATAGAATTCACAGTAATTTGAATAAATCTAACAGCATATTGGTAAACAAACAATTGGATTATATTTCTTTTAGCTCCAATATTTTAAGATGCAAATTAAAAGTGTTTAATAAAAACTAATGAGATTTAAAGTCAAAACGAAATAAAAGGAAAGCGATTGCTGTGTAAATAAACATTTAGAGTCTGCTTTCTTGTTTAAAATTCAAGTGTTTCTCTTTCGAAAATTTGTAAGACGCAAATTTAGCTACCATAGAGGACACCATTTTCTATAAATATAACTATCTAACTTTTAATTTTAAATGTATAAATTTTTTTATTGGTTGTTTCAGCCTCCGAACCCAACCTGCTGAAGGTACGCTTAAAACAGCGTGTCATGAAACGGATGCCGCCCTCGCTCAAAAAAAGACTGCTCAGTTCGCGCTTGCCGCCTAGCGAGTCGCCGCCTCAGGAACCGCCCAAGGAGCTCAGCCCGCCTTGCGAGTCCGAAGAGTACCAAAGGCATGCGCTGTTCAGCAGCCCGTCGATGCCGAACATTTCCCTGGCCGCCCACCACGTGCTCTCACCTGATCTCTCCGAGGCCGCCGTCAGGGCAGCTTGCACCGCAAGGCTAGGTATGTATCTTTGTTTATTATAAGGAAGGAAGTATTTCTTAAAATCTATTCTCGTAATGCATTTTGTACTACTAACCAGATCACATTTTGTTTCTTATAAAGTGAATTAGAAGTTAACAAGTAGTAGTATGGATGCATATTACTATTATCTGTAAGGCGGGAACTTTGTCTATAGACCAGGCTTGAATGAAACAGTATTATGATGTATGGTAAAAGAAACGACAAAGTAAGACACAGAATCTCTCTTTGTCAACCATTTTCCATTCACTTCTGAATGTAGGTCTCTCCCAATTGCTTCAATCTTTCTCTATCTTGCGCCAATCTAATCCACTGTTTGTCTGCTACTGTTCTTATGCCATCTACCCATCTTTTTTGAGGTCTTCCCATGCTTCTTGTTGTCGTCCTTGGTCTCCTTTTTAGAATTCTCCGTATCCACCTGTTTGTCACTATACTTTTTTTTCGTCTTTATAGAGGGATGGTCTGGAATCTTCAAAAGATATCTCAGTCCAGGACGCCGCCTGACTAACGTAGTTAGTGCAGGATTCGTTCTTCGTACTCCCGGCGATAGTTCCCGAGATACTTTAAAATGCCCTCTCGTCGCCGAGTCTACGCCGAACGCCTACCTGCTAAACCAGACCCTCCTCTGTCATCCAGCGATCCGGAAGCGGAATGGCCGTTGTAAGGCCGGCATCACTTCCGAAGCACTACCTTTATTCATTCATTCTCCATTCAATCAATCAATCAATAATGCCTTTTATTTCTCAATATAAAAAAAATTCAATACAATACTTTTAGTGACATTTGTTCTCCTTGGCACATGCCATCAGGAGGGTTGGCAAACAAATATTCCCTAATTAATATACAAAAAATTACACACAGGCTTATTCTATCTAACAAGGCCATGCATATAAAATGTTAGTAATAAACTAAATGTATATATCCTACTAAGTAACACTACGCACTAGACTTAACAATAATAACAATGTATAACAGTGAGGTATAGATTACAATTGAAAAGATTGAATATCCCTTTGAGGGAGTGAAAGCTGCAGATACAACAATAATAATAGTAACAATAATAATAACAATATTAGTCAAGATAGACCAGATAGATAAAAAGATAATAGATATAAGCAAACAAATTATTAATCCTATTTTTAATATAACACCACGCTAATAGATTTAGTAGTTAAATAGGCTCACTAACTCATACCTATACACCCATGCCTCCCTACAATAACCTGCTAACTCAGCCTTGCCTTGTCTCATTTAGTAACTACTTCCACTCTACTAAGTTCATGTCTACCCAACCACTTTAACCTAATATGTCTCAACACCGAACATTTTCCCAAAAAATGTATCACATCTTCCCTTTTCTTCGTGTTACACATTGAGCAAAATCTTCTTTCATCATTTCTGCCAGGTCGATCATTCAAATATAGAACCCCACATCTTAATTTAAAGAGCCGTCGAATATCTCCAAAATTTTCCATTTCCAGTAGGTAATGCATGTTTACTCCTTCTTCCCGTAGTTCTTTGTAGTGTCCACAAAAATTTGATTCGAGTGCCCTGTTCTCAGCCTGACGCTGTATCTCCTCCTTCTTCTTTTCTATCATATTCTCAATCATACTAGGCCAGCTATCTCTCCATTCCCATTCACACCTAACCTCAATACCAAATTTTTCTCCCATGCTCATCCAATCTTTCCACCAGCCACACCTTGCTCTCATCATTTCCTTTAAAAGAAATTTTGGCAACCTATCATTCGTATATCCTAGTATTTTTTTAACATAGTTTTTATGTAAGTTCATCGTATATAGGCTGACTCTAGCAATACCTGTCTCCAAATCTAACATAAAGTTAGGACAATATCTTGGACAAGAAAACATTTTTTTTATATAAAATCTTCTGATTATTTCCACCTCATCGTACTCAAAAATACCCCATACCTGAGACCCATAAGTCAAAATCGATCTTACCACTGACTCATACACTGTTACTTTAGCCAAAAAGGGTATTTCAGTCTTAGACACTAAACTACTCCAAGCCGTATGAATCCCCACTTTTGCCAAACTCTGGCGCTTTTTGAGATGAGCTTTATACGACAACTTGGGTGTTAATATCATTCCTAAATAATTATAGTTATTCACTACCTCTAATACTCGATCATTGAGTTTCCAAGATTCCCTGATCACACCACCTCCTCTTCTGAACACAAGAATTTCGGATTTATCTAAATTTATTTTTAGATTCCACATCCTGCAGTATTTTTCTAGTTCATTAATCATCCGCTGTAGCATCTTCGAATTGATTGCCATTAAAACCAAATCATCTGCATATAATAAAAGTCTTACATTAAACCTTCATGTAGGTCATTTAAGAAAAGCGCAAACAGCAATGGACTTAAAAGACATCCCTGTCTCACTCCTACATTACAGTCAAACCAGTCAGATAGACCTTCCCTTGACCAGACTGCCGATTGTGTATTCTCCATTCATACACATCCACACTCCTAGTTCGGCATCATTCCCAGAAGGGCATTTCCCCTTGCTTGTCACTATACTGGGCTACGTGACCTGCCCAGCCCCATTTCATTTTTGTAATTTATTCCACAATATAGCTTATCTTCGTTCTGCGTCTTATCTCGGTGTTTCTAATCTTATCTCTCAGTGGTATTCCAAGGATGATTCCTTCTATTGCTCTTTGCGTTGTTTCTAATTTTTTTAGCAGATTTTTTGGAAAGGTCTACTGTCTCCAAGCCGTAGGTACAAATTGGTAGTATGCATGTGATATCCACCTTTTTCTTTAAATTTAGAGGAATGGAGTTGTTTTTCAAGATATATGCTAGTTTGCCGAAAGGGCCCCATTCCAGTTGTGTTCTTTTAATTTCAGCATCTTGATTTAGTTTTCATAATTTGATGACATAACCTAGATATACATAATATTCAACATTTTCTATGGTATGATTTTGTATTGTTATATTTGTCTGGTCTCGGTTCAGTATTTTTGTTTTACTGTGGTCCATTTTTAAGCCTTCCTGAAACTGCGTTTAGTTGTTGTAACATATCATTTAGTTCTTGGATGTTATCGTCTATTAAAACTGCCATCTGCAAATCTCAAGTGGTTTAAGTATGATCCTTCGACGTTGATATCCTTGTTGTTTCATTCTAGTTTCTTAAAAATGTCTTCTAGAGCAAGGGTAAATAGTTTGGGAGAGATGGTGTCTTCTTGTCTTACTCCCCGTTGTAGTCTTATGGGATTAGTTTTTGTACTTTCGTCCAGCTTTATTTGCATGGGGACATTTTCATATAAGTTTTTTAATTATGTTAGTGTATCTTGAATCTGTACGTGCATTTTGTAGAGATTCAAGCACTCCCATAATTCGATGGAATCGAATACTTTATGTAAATCGATGAACGCCATATAAATTGGAACATTATACTCGGTGCATTTTTCTATTAATTTTCTTACGATGTGCAGGTGGTCTACGGTACTAAAATGTTTTTTGAATCCAGCCTGCTCGATAGGCTGATAGAAATCGAGCTTTTCTGTTAGGCGGTTGGTTATGATTTTAGTTAGTAATTTATACAGATGTGATAGCAAGGATATTGGTCGGCAATTCTCGATGTTTGCTTTGTCTCCTTTCTTGAATAATAGAATGACTTCGGAGTGGTACCATTCTTGAGGAATCTTTCATTCATCAATTACTTTATTAAATAAAATATTTAATACCTATTCCATTTTTATGCCACCAATTTTCAACATTTCAACTGTAATTTTATCCTCTCCCGGACATTTATGGTTTTTTGTTGATTTAGGGCCATTCTTATCTCATGTCTGCTATGTACCGTATTTCTTCTGAGCCGGTATTGATTATTGTTCACTCAGTACGTCGTTGTTGTGGTTGTGTATTTACCGAGTATAATTTAGTGTAGAACTTTTCAATGGCCTTCCTCATTTCCTTTCTGTCTCGGACGACGACGTTTTTCTCATTTTTTATTTCCATGATTTTTGTTATTCCGCTTGAGTTTTTTGCTTTCAGTACTTTCATATTGCAGTTATCTTGTATATCTTTCAGTGTCTTTATGGATTTTAGTCTTGTGCTTAGCTCTTTTTGGTATTCCGTTTGTTTTTGAAACAGGACATCAGTGGTTGGGTATCGTTCTCTTTTAGTTTGTTTGTGGACACAGAATATTGTTTGAAAAAAGAATATTGTCACATTAAAAGAAAAACGAAGTCGTACTGACAGATAAAAGAGTCAGCGATAGATAGATAAAAATTTACAAAATGTATCCAACAAGTAGAACAGAGCTTGTCCTAGAAAAGCTTGGAGAAGCGAAGTAGACAAATTAAGTACCATGTCAAAACTTTACCTGTTTAATATTTTATATCGTCATACATCGTTTTACATCGTATCAGATAATAAAACTATTAAATTAAAACAGATTATACATTTACTAAATCCACTTTTAACTTTTAAATGTAATTACAATGACCTTACAACAACAAAAAAAATATTACACCACCTGAAAACATTTCTCCCTTATTACTATAATTATTGTGGAGAAAAACCATATTATTCACGTCGTTATTTCCCCGAGAAAATTGCCGCAACTCCCGAATACGAGTCTTTTTTTATATTGAAGGCTACAATCGTACTCAACCTCATAAATAATGATCGATTTTATCGTATTTTGATATAAATATTTCAATATTTCAATCAAGGACAGCGGGAACAAGGCCGTTGCCAGTGAGATACGAAGAGGTCACATCTTGCGAAAGATGAAAAACGCGAAGCGTCTCGGGGATCTTTTTTTTTTATTTTTGTTTTCGACTTTACCGGGAAAAATTTTATCGGGAAAGAAATTGTATAATGGATATTTTTCGTTTTTTTTTATTAAATCTTATTATTTAGCAGCAGTATCAAATATGTTTAATGTTCGATGGATTCGACAGTTACTTGATGGAAGTTTATTTATCAAGCAATAAAACAATAAAAACTTTCGTTTTCTACACTTTCAGAAATTTTATTATAATTTCTTATCACTACAGCTGTTTCGGCAGAGTGTCTTTCTAAAGTAAGCTATTTTTGTTGTGCGTCCAACACTTAATAGTATTTAACTGAATAAGTTGAGGAGCGGAGAAGTGTTCATCTCAAGAAGGTATTCAGAATTATATCTGTATTTTTAATTTGTTAATTTCAATAGATTCTAATAATTATAGCTTAACGCCTTTATTTTGAATATGAAGAATTTGAAATTGATTATTAAAAGAATGATTATATGATCTAAAAGGTGTCCGCAAGTAGAATCTGTTTTTCTGTTATTGAAAGCCCTTTTGTGTTCTTCTATTCGTTTGTTAAATGTTCTACTCGTTTGACCGATGTAAGTTTTTGGGCAGTTGCCACATGTAAATTTGTATACACCACTGTGTGTGCGTTTTCTTTTGGTTCTTGTTGTTTATAGTATATTTGCTTTAGTTGTTCTTTGTTCTAAAAGCTGGTGTTATTCCTTTCTTTTTAATATGTTTGGCTATTTTTGCTATCTTGCATGTATATGTAATCGAGAAGAAAGTAGTGGGTTTTCTCTGTTGATTGAAAGACTAATTTCGGGGCTTACTTCTGCATTTTTGGTTTAAAATTTGCTACTATTTGCCTAATGATATTTAATTCTAACTCGAAGTTGTTTTTTGACATGGGAGTTTCATTAATCTATGTAACATGTTATGATAGGCTGAATATTTATGTTGCATACGATGGGATGATAATTTGTGTATAGTCGTGTCAGTATGGGTGTTTACGGAATACGGAAAACTCATGTTTGTTTTCGAGTCTAATAATGTTTAAAACAAGAAAATTTATGGGGTGAATTAATATAAGATAGGAGTTGGAGGATAAAGCATACCAGTATCTCGTCCACGTATCTCTACCAATATAAAAACTGTTTGAATTCGTGATGTTTTGAATTCTTTTTGCGATCGATTTTTGAAATTCGACCAAGAGAACGGTCAGCAATCAGATGGTCCTACCAAAGTCAGATTTCAACGCGCCATTTATTCTGCGAAACCCTTAGAGCAGTTGACGATAGAGATCGTGGAGAAAATTTGTTAGGTTATTGGAAGAAATCACCATCCTCAGTAATGGAGAAAAAACAAGAAATATTGAGACTGGCTTATGGTTCAGGAAGTAGTTTAAGTAGATGTTTGACGCTTCTCTTCATTATGGCGTCCAAGGTAAAAGGTTCAAGATTGTACCTTCTGCCGGTTAGCCCACTATAGTCCTTTCGTTTGTACATCTATAGAATCCGAAATTTAGCCGGGTTAAAACGTCTCCAATTCTTACTCTGTCAAAGCATTGAGCCTACCAGACATATATATGTTGATTGAATGCATTTAAAAGATATTTCTTTAATCTGCAGTATTATGTTCATCCATGTAAGGTCAGCTGTAACATGCAGCATTGTAGTTTATTGTGAATTATCCTGAAAGTACTGTGAAATAATTTAACAACAATGAGTAAATTTCTTGTTATGTTGATACGATGAGATGGTGAATTTTGTTTTTCAATCAAATAGTACTCAAAGGAAAAAATAAAATTGTAAACAATATGTTTTATATCGATATTTTAATGATCTTTTTTAACAAGTTAACCAAAATCTGTTAAAAACCAATAACTATTTTTTATTACTGAATCGTATATTCTACCTTCATCAGCCTTATTTCGTCTCTTAGGTATGCCTTTGACCGGTCAAATGCTCCCAGGCACCTTACCTTTCTACCCTTCGCTGCCCGCTATCGAAAGCGAGCACGAAGATCAACCCCTGGACACGATCAGTGAGCTCCAGGAACCTCAAGTCAGGGGCGTAATCAGACCGTTGGGTAGGACGCAATCGTCCCCATTGCCGCTGGGCCACCCGCTACTGGGAGGCCCGCCGCCTCCCGATCTTCCCCCACCGCTACCGCCCCTACCACCCGCCGAAGAACAGGAGCAGAGAGATTTGGAACTGAGAGCAAATGAGTCTAGAAGGTAAGTTTTTCATCTTCATAAATGATTCATTTTGGAAGCGTAAACATGAATTCGAAATTAATTCGGAAGCATAAACATATTAATATAATAAAACGCTCATTCTTTTATTAATCTTCTTATGAAATCTTGTACGTACTAATATTGTAGAAAAATGATATCCATTATAAACTGGGTTGTAGACATAAATTACAGACTTACTGACAATTTATTTATTCAATATAAGGTTAAATGTTCGAATAATTAAACTTTGACGGTATACAAGGCAACTATCGAACACGGTGATTAATTTAATCTTGCCCAAGTACTTTCGATCAAAAGATCATCTTCAGGGGCATTTGAAATAAGCCAAGAAACGTTTTTTATAAAAAAGGAAAGTTAATTCACTTGGATAAAAAACTCCAAGTTTATGGTTGAAAAAATTTTTATATGTGATAAACGTTTATAGACTTACTTCGTCAGTTGTGGGCTATCCGACATGAGTAGAGTGTCATAAATGTAAATTTGGACATAACAATACAAAATACGATACACAAAGACAAACAAACACTTTAAAATTATTGAACAGGAGAAGTTACATGTTGTATAGAAGCCGGAGACATAATGGGCTCCCGGTCTGACGGAAATATTGAGATGACATGTGACAAATGACAGCTTGTGAAGGGCAGTTATGTGATCTGCACCTTTCAAAATTCTATGAAACTAAGTATTGACCAAAGGTCCAAATGACACCACTATAGGAAATCAACTGATGAAATATAAAATTATATAGTATATTTTTTATGTAGATTGAATAATCCAAATCACACACTCAAACCTGTCTATAATAATTAGGATATTAGTTTGAGAGCAAATTGAAGTTGACATAAAGTATGAATGTAAGAAAAGACTAAACAATATATTAGACAGTGGATGGTTGACTACAATAAAATGGTCCACCAACCGCTATCAGTACTGTAAAAAAGGAAAAATCTGAATATGCAGTTAAATTACTAAAAGTTAAAATCAAAATTGAAGACAAAATATATAAGTAAATGGGTTATAATCCAAGTAGTTCATTGACTGTGGATTCAACAGATATTGCTCCCATATTTCTTTCCTTTTTTCATGGTCTAATTCCATTTGGTTTTTCTTGTTTATTACAATCGATAAGTGTTTGGGTTTCCATATTCCACCTACTTCTCTAACCTTTCTGTGTAGTTCTCTATCTTTATGCTTCATTTGCAAATCTTCTAGCTCTTTAGATTTTTCTTTCGTCCACTCTTCCTTAGCTACATTTATTTTTTTCTCAAGTTCCCTGTTGAGTTCTTTGTATCTTGTTAGGTTTTTGTTTTTTATCATCCGTCTCCTCTCCATAATTTGTAATATTTCGTTTGTCATCCATGGTTTTTTATGTTTACGGTTTTCTTTCTGTATACTTTGGTTTGCTGCCTCCAAAACAGTATTTTTAATTTTTCCCCACATGTCTTCAATTTTTTCTTTTATTGTCTTCTCCTTAGTGGGAGCTATTATCTTAGACTCTAACTGCGTGTCTACCATGTCTTCAAACTTCCGTTGCTGTCCTTGGTCAGCACTACTCCATGCTATTCTCTGACCGGGTTTAGCCTTGTCTACTCTTTTAAGTTTTAATCGGATAGTTACGACTGTAGGATTGTGGTCTGAATTTATATCACAGCTTGAGTACGTTTTTACATTTAGAATACTATTACGGAACCTTTTCTTAATTCCAATATAGTCGATTTGGTTCGTCACAATATTTTCTTCGCAATCTTGAGGATACCAATAAGACCATAAACCATGTGTTAAGAACCACCAAGTTGTTCTCTTGGCAAAATTCAACAAAGCGTGTGCCTCGTAGCCTCGTTCGTTCCTGGTTCCTAAACCATATGGGCCGATGATCCATTCAACTTTTTCTGCTCCTACTTTGGCATTCCAATCTCCCATAAATATGTTTTGGGGATTTTTTAATGAATAGTAAATTAAAAATTAAACTAAAATAATGTAAATAGTACTTTTAAATTGTGTTAAATAAAATTTATCTTCCATATTCCTATCGGTTTTAAGGAGTCCATCTATGATTTAGAGATGTTGATGGCCAAAAATATACATATGATAATATAATAAACAAAACATATTTTTTGTAAATATTTAAAGTGCATAAAACCTGTTTGCCAGGTATAGCTATAATATAGTATTCTGTTTTCGTTTATTACATTTTTTGATACAATAATATTAGTTGTCTGATCAAAAATTCCCCAAACACACAGAATTCACGTGTAACTATGTTTTCATTTTATATTCTCAATGAATTCTGTTATCAGTACATACATAAAAATATGTATTACTCAAAGCAGTTGTTGGAATAATGCGATCGACGTATTGTAGTTGTGCTGATTTTTTTATAAGTGTCGCCAATTAACTATAATAATAACAATTTAATCTAGAACTCACTAGATAATGTCATAATATCCTTGGGGGATTTGATAAGATATGTTAAAACGTATAAATTTGTTATAGAATACAAAATATTCTCATATATTTGTTGTAAAAAAGGATTTCTTTTTGCTTATTTCTATTTGCATTATTATTGTTCATCTTTCCAGTGGCGCACCTAAGGGGTATAGGGATTAAACTCCCCCTTCCCAGATCACTATTCCGACACTGTTATTCTTAAATTTTAAGGACTCCACAAGAAAATTCTAGGTGCGCTACTGCATCTTTCCATATTTTTTTTATTTCTAAAATAAAAAATTGAACAAAAAAGAAATTATATAGGAATTAGGATTAAAAAATCTTTGTTTTTTCTAAGAAATATATTTGTTGTAAAAAAGGATTTCTTTTTGCTAATTTCTGTCTGAATTATTATTGTTCATCTTTCCAGTGGCGCACCCAGGGGGTATGGGGGTTAAACTCCCCCTTCCCAGGTTCCTATTCCGACACTGTTATTCTCAAATTTTAGGACTCCACAGGAAAATTCTAGGTGCGCTACTGCATCTTTCTATATATCTTTTTTTAATTTCTAAAATAAAAAATTGAACAAAAAATAAATTATGTAGGAATTAGGATTAAAAAATCTTTGTTTTTTCTAAGAAAGTCAATATTTCGCTATTTATTTGATAGCTTCATCAGGAGTAAACTGTAAAACAATTTCAACATTACAAAAGTGGCGTACAAATACATTTAAAAACACTTAAGTAAAGAAATTAAAAGATTTCAAAAATAATAAAAACTGACATTGAAGTGTAAGTGTAATGGAAGTGTAAAATAGTGAATGTTAAGATGAAACTGTCTTAAGCACATTCGTTACTGTAATACGATAAAACAATTAATTACTCCAAATATAAAAATAACAATAAAAATAAAAGAACACATTACTTTTATATAAGGTTGGTAATGGGCAATGTTGTTTATGAAATACCGTGTCTAGGATGTCAAAATAGCTACATTGTCCAAACATCACAATGGCTAAAAGAACGCATCACACAACATAAAAGTGATTAACCCTTGGAAAAAAAAATGGTTGAGTACTATGAAAATCCCGGTCATATGCTAGACTATAACAAGGCTCGTGTTTTGGCACATACTGATAACTACAAAAGTAAAAATAAAAACACTTTAAATTATAAAACGGACACTGGACAGTTAAGTAACACAAATTGTACTGTATTGAACAATATTTATAAATATTCAAAATAGTCAACACTCACCTTAATAACAACTAACCTTATAGCCAAGTCTGGTTACGCAAAAATCATCGATTTCACACAAAATTTTTCGCAGATATCTGAAGCTTTTAAGACATAGGTTTTACCTTGCGTTTTTTTTTTAACAATAATTTATGGTCACAATGTGATTTTTTATCTTATTATTTAAGTTTTCCCTTATATTTTACATCATTTTTTTATATCAAGAATACCTTGATTTTCCCGTTTTTTAAATTAAAATTGATAAATAATTTACGGAGATTACAGAATAAGTACAGACTTGTACTTACAACCATTGAATAGCTGGAAAAAACTCACATTAAAAAAAAAGCTTCTATGACCAATAGGAACGAAGTTAAGGACTATTTTTAAAAAAATCATATCTCCATTTTTTATAAATATTAAGAAGTCAAATTTGCACAAATTTTGAATGAAAATCTAAACTTTATATTGAAACTTCTAGCTATAAAATTCATCCAATTTTTCGAAACTTGCAGCCCTTTGAGACAAAGGTACTTTCGAAAGATCGACATAGGAAAGTGGAGGGGATAACTGTTTCAGCTCCGTTTTTATTCGAGATCGGGACTTCAAATTGAAACCCGTAGGAAAAAATTTACATTATCTCGGCTTCCATTGCATCTGGAAGTATCTTTTTTTTTTTAATCAGGGGTAGCTCATCGAAATATGAATAACTACATAGTTTTCACTGGCCGGGAAATATGGGAAACCTCTGAAAAATTGATTTCATTTTAAATTCACCGTAAAAACTTAAAAATTAAATGCCATATCTATCTATAGCCAGGAAAACCGCAAACCTAAGGAGGAGAGAGGCATTCTACGAACAATTGCGAACATATTCTTTATAAGTAAAAAATGACGGTTAATCTTTTGCGTATTTTGTTTATTACATATTGCTAAATTTATCAAAAACAGTTGTTAGATTCCTGTATCAAAGGGTGTCAGGATAAAGACTATTTATTTACTGATTTCCCTGCTCTCTGGTCTAATATGGCATTGATATCGAAAATTATTGAAAAAGAAATTGTTTCAAATCTAGACCAAAGTCTATCGATTGTTAGAAGGAAATATTTATTTTGTTATATCTCTTTAAGTATGTCCTAATTGACCTAAGACAACATTTATCGAGATTTTTGGCGGGATGATATGTCTCTTTTTAAACGAAATGTTTTCGACCCAGTCAGTTACATGTGGTTTGAATCATGTAATTTTTCTACATGTATTCATTTCATAGAAATAAAATTAATAATTTAATAGGAGCAAAGGTTGTGAATTTTTATT